AGGGCCCAGCCTGCCCTCGGGCACTGGGCATGTGCTCAGCTGCTCTGCCCGGCGGGTTTGGCAGAATTTCAGGTGGGATTTCAAACTCTTGCCTATGGCCCAGGGAATTCCTCTGCTAAAACAAAACTTCCGAGCACCATGGCTCCATTTCTTATCTTGCGTGGGAGAGCCAGAGTCTAAAATTCACATGCTCTTCATTTTCCTTAACAGCAATTCCCCTTTTTTCTTTTCTCCATCTTCACGGTTGAAGATACTGGCAAAGGAGATTTTATTTATCCTGAGGCAGGTTTAGATGAGATGAGACTTCTTGCAAACCAGCCACAAGGTAGAAAAATCCATCTTTTATTTTAATTCCTTGCTTGGATTTTCTTCTTTTCAAACACTGGATATCTAATCGAGTAGAAGGATGCAAGGCTGGGAAATGTTGTGCCTCCTCATTTAGATACCCGCTGAATTGTGTCCTCGCTGCCTGGCTGGGGAGCGATCTTTGGTTTGTATGAGGAGGGATGGATAGACTGGGGTCCCTGGCGGCTGGGCCTCACCGAGGACTTTTTTTGTTTTGGTGTGGGTTGAGCTGTTTCTCCTCTATGAGCCTCTCCATAGCACCAGTGGCAATGGCCCTTCACCCTCCCGGTGCCGCTCCCCACAGGAAGCGTCTCCCGTGCCGTGTATTGTCCTGCCTTCGGTGCTTCACTTTGCCCGCCCGTCATCTTGCAAAATATTTCCCTCTCCACAAGGAAAAGCCGACTTCAAAGCTGCGGGGACGCTGGCTTTCCTTGCGCTAATCAGGCGAGGCTCCTGCAAGGCAGCTGTTGGTAGTTGAAAGACATGAGTGATGCTCCCCTCAGTCTGGGAGGTGGTGGTTCCCCAGGTGCCTTCTTGGTGCTGAGATTCACGGAGGGGCAGGGAACGTGATTGCAAAGTCTCTTTAATGTAAAAATAACGGCGGAGATCAAAGCTGCCGCCAGCCTTCGCCTCCCTGCTGCCTGGAGAGCGTGTGATGCAGCAGAAAAGCACCCAAAAATCTTCCCTGACCACCTGGGCTCTTGGTGGGATGTGTCCAGCGTGGGTTGGTGGGTCAGTGTTGGCATGGGGCACTCTGCCGGTGCCTGCAACCCTCCTGGGGGGACGAGTGGCATTCACCTTGTCGCAGGGGCCGGAGTAGGGGCATCTTCTGCCTCCTGGAGAGCGGAGTAACAGATCCCCTTTTGCCCGAGCCCCCCAGCCCCACGCTGTGCCCCAACAGGCTGCCCCTCATCCCCCTGTGGCCTCATCCGAGCTGGTCGAGTGACTTTGTTGTGACAGGCCCAAGCCCTGGGAGCCGTTGGGGTTCACCTCCCCGAGCAGGGCCACCCCCAAGGGAGAAGGAGAGGTGAAGGCAGCCCGGCTAATTGCGCTGGCAAGCAGGATTTTGTTAATGAATCAACCCCCTCAAAAAACACCAGATACTTCAGATTTCATGAAACGCAGCAGGTGGGAGGATCTTGAAAGGTCTCATCCATTCATTGAATTAAATATCCTTGAGTCTAGCCCAAGGCTTAATAGCAATGAAACCGCCCACCATCCTGAGAGAAGGCAAATTCAGAGCTGCTCAAAAGACGCTGGACTGGGAGGGCCGGGATGGCTGGGCTTGGGGGCAGGTTCCCTGCCAGCACCAGGGGGTCAGTCCCACCTGCAGTCCCTGCTCCCAGTCCCCATCTGCAGGCACCGTTGCTCCCTGTCTGTGGTCTGAGCACGGCCGTGCCGCAGCAGCTCGGCCGCGGTCTCCGGTGGTGGGAAGCTGGGGTGCATGACGGGGGGTAGGCAGAGAAATGCTGCAGGGGAAATTGGAATAGGCAGAATACAATCACCTACATTTAAATAAGACGTGTAATATGCAATAAATAGATTGTATTCATAATAAATATCAGAGCTGGCCAGATATTGGATACAATTATTCATATCCAGATATATTGGCGAAGTGATGCATTATTCATATGATACTCAGTTAGCCCACGAATGCCAGGAATTCTTTGTTTAATCATGTGTTTGACAAACATCATGACTCATTAAATATATTATTCAGAAAATAGTATTTGATCAGGTCTAATAGACGTACTGCAGACACTTAGAGATTTGGGGGTCCCAAATTTCTTTACTCCAGAAGCGCTGAATGAGGTTTGCTCCAGAACTGCAGGCACACTCATAATTTCATCTAACTTTTACTGTGGTTTTTGTGCTCGGACTTTGAGGCATTTTGTGGCGGAGCCCAGCACTGAATCCTCCTTTTGGTTTTAGGAGAGCTGGACAGTCCCGGGATGCCTTTTTCTATTTTCTCTCCTTGCCAGGCGTTGCCTGTCCTTAAGCCAAGCAGGCATCACCTGCGCGTCTACTCCTCCATCGAGAGCCTCCCAAGTTGCTATAGGGACCATAAGGGAACTTAGCTATAGGAGATGCGTCTTCAGGCTCCGCTGCCTATTATGTGCATGTGTGTTGTGGAAAAGGGTCCTCGCTGAGCCCCGTTCTCCCCTTTCCACGATGGGGAAGAGGCCGGAGGAACGCGCGTGCGAGCAGAAGTCGTGAGTCAGCGGAGCGAGGTCGCTTGAGCTGCGCGGTGAGTCAGGACTGTAACCCAGGAGCCCGGGCTGAGTAGGAGGGAGAATAAATTTAATGAGCAGCGATTGTTCACTTGCTGCTTAGTTTTATTCCAAGGTGGTTTTCACAGCCCTTAACTTAAAGATCAGGACCCCTCAGTGGAAGCTGTCAAATCAAAAGCCAAGCTCGAGGGATTGGGTTTAATAAAGAGAGATGAGGGAGGGGTGATGTTCGAGTTAAAGGGCTCAGGATGGCGGGTGAATGTGGCTGCCAGAGGCATCTCTTGCTGTTTGTCATGGAGCTGATTTTCTAACCCGTGGCATAAAAATTCCATCACATTGATTTCTCGTAATAAAATTCAAGCCGGTGTAATGGCATTCCGCCTGTTTCCAAAGGGAGGGCTGGGGCCGGAGCTGCCTGCTCACTGACTCACGTTCGCTGCCTTCATTTATGGGGCCAGTGCACTGCCAGCCTGCCCAAGGTAAAAATACCGTCCCGGTGAAGATGAACCGCAGCCAGCCAGAGGGACTGGGGTTCGGGCGCTGAGTCCAAGGGACTGGGAAGGCTGACACGAAACTCTGTGACTGAACCACCTCTGGTCATCACACACAGATGGGCACAAAACGTGGGGACCCACCTGAGAGGCGGCCAGAGATGCCAGAGGGAAAATGGGACTAGGAGAGACCTGGCGGTGTCTCTGGCTCCATCATGCTGCTTGGAGATAGCGGCAGGTCCCAGGTCTTGCAGATGTGCCAAAAACTCCCTCCCAAGGGACCCGGTTCTGCACAAACACCTTAACTAGCCTGGGACGTCAGCGGGGACAAGGAGGATGGCCATCGCCCCTGTGCTGTGCCAGGCTGCGCTGCCTCCATCACGCAGCACCTGCGGGTCTGCCCGGGGCGTTGTCGGTCCCGTGGGACAAAGGGGACGTGCGTTCTGCAGCACTGAGGCAGGCTGGGGCTTGTGGACCCCAACACTACCCTGATTTGTCACCTTTCTCCCTTGGGGAAGGGTTTGCCCTTCGGTGGGCTTCAGCTCGGGCAGCTGTCGTGGTTTGGCTACTGCAAACACAGTGTTCCTGTGCTAAAGGAGGGCTGTGCGGTGCAGGGGGGCAGGAGCCGTCCCTGAGGAGGGCACGCAGGGGCTTGCAGCTGCCTGGGGCTGAGCTGCAGGTCTCTGAGCTGTAGCATGCTGCACAGGGGCTGGTGTTCTCGGAGCTGCTTGCTAAGGTGGGAGCAAGGGGCTTCCCGTGTCCCCGTGGGCAGTGAAACGGGGCTCGGTGGGGCTCTCCAGCCTCTCCCAGTGCAACAGTGGAGATGCTCTCCCTGCCACCACCATTGAAGTTTTCCAGCCATTTCCCTCCTGGGCTTCCGCCTGTCCCGGGTGTTTCTGGGGCTTCACAGCAAGTAGGACATTGCATTCACTATCTTCTTGTGCTTCTGGGGCATATCTAGACATTGTCAGGGGAAGATCTTGTTACTCATGTTCTTAAGAGGTCAAACTGGCACCAAACCCTGCCTCCCCCGAGTGTGCAGGAGACGGCACCTCTCTGCAATTGCCGGCTGTAAAAATAGACCCCTGGCTGTCAGCTCCTTGTGAGGGCCATGCTCCTCTCCTCTTCAGCCCAGCTTTCATAACTGCGCGCTTGCTTTCCCTCCCCAGAGCTTTGGCCAGATGGGTGTGGAGTTGTGCATGCCTGGCAAGTGCCGCTTCTTGTCTGGAGCTGCTGCTGCTCCTTTTTCGGTTTTGTTCTTTAAAAGAGGTGCAAGAGGGGGAAGGGAAATAGGAAATATTGTGCCTGCATTTGAGATTCTCTTTAAGGATTTTACTGTTGCGGTGGGGTGGTTTTTTTCGCGGGTATCTATAGTAACGCTGCATCCCACTATGGTTTTCTGGAGAGCAGCATTCCCTGTCTTCCCGCTTGTATTATTTTTTTCCAAACCCCCTCCCTCTGCCGCTCCCTGGCCCTGATGGTCCTTGTGCCGTGCAACCGAGCTGTCCCCATGGCTCCCTCACTGCTTTGTTATCCGCTTGTGAGCGTGAGAGTGGTCAAACCATCCATGGACAAACCATCCATGGATAAGCCATCCACGGATAAACCGTCCAGGCGCTGCGCAGGCCAGAGGCATGGTGTGCAACTAGTTACTCTGAGGTGGGATAGCAGGGCATTATTTACTTTTAATTACTTTTACCCCTTCCTGAATAGGTCCTGTTTGTCAAAACGCAGCAAGGCGGAGCGCGGTCCCTGGAGACAGAGGTGCCACCCGTGAGAAATGGGCGCCAACGGGAGTGGGTGAACGAGAGAAAAAATCAGGCAGCAAAAGGATGAGAAGACACTGTAGGAAAATTTAAAGAAGGGAGAGAAGGGAAGGGAAACGCGTGGCTCCGGTGGGGGTGCGGGATCCTCCCTTCAGAGGGGGACAGGATGGCTTTTGAGCTCCAGGCGGCGCTGCTGGGGGACGGCTGGTCCCTCGCAAGGCAGCCACCACCCTCCTGGCCCCCTCTCTGGGATTTCAGGAGCTGCGAGTGGAAGCTCCCTGCAAGCGCTAACTTTGCTCTTCTGTCGTCTCTCCTGACGCCCGGAGCGGGCTGGGAAGCAGCAGAGAAATGACTCATTAGCTGCCAGCTCAGGGAAAGGCATTTATAGCTTTCGCACGGAAAACAGCCTTCGCGCAGCATCGCCGTCAGTGCCCTTGGACGCAGGCTGCCGTCACGGGGTGCATCCCGGGACTTGGTCCTGCACAGGACCCTGACGGGGCTTGGAGAGCTTGGCTTGACTGAGGTGTGATGCCTTTTGCAGGCTGGGTCTGCAAATCCCTCCCGGTCTTGTCTGCATGGTGGGGGAGGAGGTGGAGGACCCTCTCCACGGCCCACACTGGGCAGCCAGGACCCCAGCGCCAGGGGACACCCTGAGAGCTGCCACACTCGGAAAAGTGCCCGAGCTCCTCGGGTGGGGAGGGAGGGAGCCCTGTGGGGAGGCACGCTTCTCCCGGCTGCGCAGTCTGAGAGCGGATTTAGGAAGAGCCTCCTTGGCTGGGCAGGGTGCAGCTGGGCTGGCGCTGGCTCAGAATAGTTTTGCTTTAGTCACCGATGACTTTGATGTTTTAATGGAAGAGCCATTAGGATGCTTGAGGGCCCGGGTTGCTTTTCCGACAATGCCTGGGCTGAGGCATGCCTTAGGCACAGCGACTGTGGCACCGCAGGATTGTGAAGTTCAGGGTTCATGAGCATCTCCCTGGAGGGAGCCCAATCCCCGGCAGGGTGACAGCCATCCCAAGGGGTGCTGGAGCCCTGGCCGGGATGGGATCTGAGCAGGAGAGATGGCCATGGTGACTGTGGGACCCAACTGTGGCGTGCAGGTAGCTCCGTGTGGGCGGCTGTGTGATGGAGCTGAGAGACACGGTGTAGCGCAGCCTCCGCCTCCCGCATCCCTCTGCTTCCCCAGACCTGGCCCGTCCTCCATCCCAGCAGTCTCAGGTCTCGGCTGCGGAGGTAAAGCAGACCAAGATATTGGGTGTCACATTTAAACATCATGAGCTGCCCTGGCCAGGCTGTAGCAGCGGATTGATGCCCTCCAGCTGCCTGCGAAGGAGGTGCCCAGTCACTGGCCTGCAGAAAGGTGGCCTCGAAGTCGTCCCCTCGCTGGGGAGACCTGCAGTGTGATATGGCAGCCCCTTCCCTCGTGCCATCGCCTCCCCTCTCCCGGCAGCCCCGCTCACCCCGTGCTTGTTGTAGGATCTCGGTCTGCGACGAGGACAAGTTCCGCCACAACGAGTTCATTGGGGAGACGCGGATCCCGCTGAAGAAGCTGAAGCCCAACCAGACCAAAAACTTCAACATCTGCCTGGAGAAGCAGCTGCCGGTGAGGAGGGGGT